TGTCATGAGTTTCAACATCAAGAAGCGCAACTTTCTTCTGGCCAGTGTATTGCTCGGAAATAAGGGGATTATTGCTAGCACCGAACTAGCAAGATCGGATGGAGATTAGTTGAGAATAAGCCAAGAGCAGCCAGCCTATTTCACTCTCTTATGGAACCCCTAGGGCCCTAGGGCCTTTCCTTAAATAGTCTTTAGACAAGGGCAATTAACACTCAAGCCAAGCGGGTTCCACCTCCCACTCCGAACTACCCTGCTTCAAGCAATGGCAAGAGGCAAACATGTTGTGAGATGCCGCACGCCAATGGCAGGGTTGTTCAATTACGCTTGCTTGTTCAGAACTACAGGCACGGGTAAATATCATAGAAACTATCATAGAAAACAGTGCCTTCGCAGAGAGAGAGAGAGAGGAAAAACAAATATGCAGGCATGGACCCAAGATAGTATTGGAATCATTGCATTCAAGCTTTCGCGGCTCTTTTATTCACGTCTCACAACGCTCCTGAAAAGATCATATGGACCCCCAGAAACAGGCACACGATCCCAAAAACAAGCGCACACAGCAGCACCCTGCAGCGGCATTAGAGCAGCGGCACCCTGTGCGCCACCAGCACCCAAGCTCCCAGAGCAGCGGCACACAGCAGCGGCGCCTGCACGGAAGCTCCCAAGCGCACACAGCAGCGGCACCCAGCGGCACCAGCACCCAGGATCGAAAGTGCACACATGCAACTCTTCCTATGCTTGAAGTAACAACCCCAATAGCTCACGCTATCTGGGGAATAAGAAAGGAAGAAAGAAAGAAAGAAAGAAGCGAAAGAGAGGGATAGAGAGGCAGGAGGCTGAAACAGAAGCTTGTATGGCAAACCCAGAACTTTTCACAAGTGCTCCTAGAAACAGAAAAGCGGCCTAGTTTACAGCCCGAACTCCCAATTATGATCCATAACCCTTTGTAGCATCTCGAAGCAAGCCACTCTTCATGCATGCTCGGTCCTTCAGAACACTCGAATGGTCCAGCGGAGATGACAGTGACGAAAACGAATCTGCTGGAGTTCTGCGGTTCCCTAGGTCATTTTCAGCTGTGGATGGGGACTGCGTCGATGAAAGCTGAAGGCTGCTGTGCTCGCTCTCCTTCAAGCTCTCGTCACTCCGCCAGCATGGGGCGACTCGCATTTGCAGCTTTCGAAAGTAGTGTTTCTGATTCTCGCTCGCATCCATCGTCAGCGAACAAGCTGCGACGTCCTCGCTTTTAACACCACATCCTTCCTGCAGCATTCGCCGAGCCAAAGGTTGCCGCCCACTGCCACAAAGCTGAGTCCGGCTATTAGGACTCGGAGTGTGCATTGTCTGAGTCTCAGCATCTGCTCTGCTTACCTGGAGCAGCGTGAGGCTGAGGCAGCGGACAGCTCAAAAGTCAATACAGCCACGGATCTAACAAAAGACCCCGAGAATTCTACTGGCCTCCTTATCTGCCTGCTCATTCTGACAGAACTGGATGTCACCTTCGGCAATGAAAAACCAGGATCTATATATAAAGTGAAGGATTTCTCCCTGGCATGACAACAGAAGCGCCGGCCTGGAGAAAACGAGGCAGACACAGAAGAATTTGGGCTCAGCACTGGAGACAACTTGGAGATGTCATCATCAGGCACTCCACAAGTCCGCTTGACTTGGCCCTCAGTCGGTGCGATCTGTTCACTGAGAATCCACCGATCTTCGAACCAAAAGCACGGTGACAATACAATATGATGGCATCATGGCTGATTTCTTTCTGTCGAGGCTCTGAACCACTGATGCCGCTCCTTAGTCGAAACAGTAAACTGCTCCCCTGAGGCCCTACCAAAGTGGACGATACCCTCCTGCTGAAAAGCGTCTCCAGCAATGCTGATCCTTCCGTCCGGGCATTCTGAGGGAGCAATGGCAACACCACAACCTGTATTTGAGCAAGTCTCTCTGATGAATGAGATTGATGTAATTACTCAGATCTAGCATTGCTAAGCCCACCACCCCCTGGTCTTCTTTTGATGAGTGGCGAAGAATGAAAGACCCAGGAAACGCCGCACCTGCCATGCTTGCTGCACAGCATCAGCAAACGAAAGCATTGCATGTCATTGCTCATTGTGCTGAGGTTGCGGCTAGAATTTGGAGACCGAACACTCACGCTCCTTGTGCTTGGGGACTTCTTTGGCGTCATGAGTTCTGACCTGAGTGCGGCACCTATGCAATGTGCACACATTGTTGTCGAAAAAAGGCACATTTTGAGGGATGGGCGGCACATGTTGAGTGGGTCCACTTTCCTCAGAACACAAAACGGACCGTTTTTGCTACCTCCGCTGGCTCAACCATCATGGTTACAGCAGCCGAGAGTCGACATGCGGCTTAGCAGCCATGTCCAGGGCCGATAATCTTCTCACAACTGACGCAGGGGGCACCATAGCACCAGCACGAGCGGCTGGCTCCTTGGTCGGGTGACACACGGGAGAGGAATCAGGAAGTTGCACAGCTCATCATCAACTTCACGTTCTTCTGAACTTGTGTGCCCCAGACTTTTTATGCCCAAGACTCGTTGCAGGACCAATTCTGCAGGCTTGCAGCTCCTGATGCTGCCAGTGGTCTTGTAGCAGTTTCAGGCTGGACTGGCACAGTTTCGGCAGCATAATGCTGCCGGCGTCCGACATCCATAGGTTGTGCTCCTGTTGTCGGCGTCTGGCCAAGGTGACCCCGTTCTGGGCAATGAACTGGCAATCTTAAAGCTCCAACAGAGGCCGAGCGAGTTGTCACTGCAACAGGTGTCGAAGGTTGTGAGTAGTCTGTCAAGCCCCTCGGAGTGACCATCAGCTGTATTCGGTCAACCTCAGATTGCATGGCAGAAAGCGCTCCAACTGCGCAACGGTGCAGTCCAGCACTCGGTGGCATCTGGACGATGCCCGGGTGTATAGCTGAAGGTTCTGGACGCGCTGACAACTGCAAAGCACCCACAGAGGCTGATCGTGGGGCTCCGATAGGTGTCGAAGGTTGAGAATCTCTTGGGGTTCTAGGGGTAACCACCAAAGGCGGAAAGGCATTTTGCCCAGGCATGTAGCTTGGTGCTGGCAGGGACGAGCGGCCAACAACTGCTGGCTCTCGCTCTGAGCCTGACACAGGCTGTGTCCACCGCCGTCGAGCAAAAACCTCCTCATAGCATGGTCTCCAAGTCCAGCTTGGGCCCACGAAGCATGGCCTGGGAAAAACCTCGCCACCCAAAAGACCAGACTGATACAAAAAGGGATTTCCACCTGGTGCTTCAAAAGCCCGATCAGCTGGTGGCAGGCTGCCTTGCCGAAGCATGGCAGGAAAAGTTCCACCCGGCCGCCGGCAGCCGCTGTTCGACTCAAGTAAAATTGTCCAAGTGGTGCCCGAGTAAAGAACATATGCATGAATCAATATGATTTGATGAACATATGGGTGCTTCAAGGTAGCTGTGCAGTGCATAGGACTCCTAGGACTATTGGAAGTTCCGCCTATATAATTCTCATCAACTCATCGACAAAATCCCACCAGATTTCTCTGTTGACGGCTTTGTTTGTTGCAGTCTTGCTCCACCCTTGACTCAAATCCCGTCAGGAAGAGCAAGCAAACATCATCAATGCAAAGAAATGCAATGGTGAATCTTGTTGAGCGACCTTACTTGAGTCAGCTCACAAAATGACTAGCATTACATTATCGCAATTAGGTTGGGGGCCATCATTCTTAGATTGGAGGCCATTGCTAGTAGGTTGGAGGCCATCGCTCGTATGCACAAATCATTTTGCATTGGCTCCTTCGGCTTCGGCCTCTTTGCACCCGCCAAGCTTCGTGGCTGTGCCATGCCCCCTTCGCCGACTCTGCAAGCTATGTTTCACTTGCTTTTGTCCAGTTTGTCCTTGTCCTCGTGCCAGGTTTCAAGCAAACTTCACATGGAGTTGCATCAAGCGCAGTCCTTCGTCAGGGCACTGCTTCTTGTGAGCGTGTAGGTGAGGACACCACTAGTACCTTTTTTGGTACAGATTGCTGGTGTCAAGTATCTCTCGGAAATTGGCAATATTGATCTTTGTGCAGACCAAGTGCATACGCAATATCCTATGACTCCAGCAAAGGTCAACCTCAGTGAAAAAAGTCTCGACCAGCATGACAGTTGGCCTCAACTTCTACAGTTCTGTTGAATTTCAATCCAAGGAGCTCTGATGGATGAGTCAGCCTGCTGACTGCGGTTGTGGCACACTTGTAAGCGACGTTGGCAACCTGCACAGTTCAGCTGTTGTGTTGCTGCACATTTCAATTGTCACACTTGCAGCCTGGATCGTTGTTGCAGACACTTCGCCCTGGCGCAGTGGAAGACTTTACCGCACCGGGGGCGATACTGGTATGCACAAATCAGAACCTTAGCGGAGGGAGGGGAAAGGAGGGATCTCCTTGGTGGATCACAGAAAAGCCTGCAAAGCTTGCAAGGCTTGAGCAGCCAGGTCTCGCTTTGCAAGCAAGAACTCAATGTTCTTGCTGGAGAATGGGGCATCTATTTCAATTTCTGCACTCACAAACCCTAGGCTATATGCCCGATCAATTCACACACACCCCTGACAGGTGCAAGGGGCATTGCGCATGCCTACACCCCCGCCTGCAATGCCAGGAGCAGCGTGCCAATTCCAAATGCTGCTATAGCAGAAGATGCCACAAGAGCTGCTTCGTATCTGTTTTGGGGCAATGTGGCAACTAGCTAACTACGTATATAACAAATTCTTGAACATCGAGCTTTGTGGCATACAAGAAGCGCTTACACGGCCTTCGCGCTGCCAGGTCCAGAAGGGTCCCCGGGAAGCCCTCGAAGTATCCCAAAGCAAATATGAGTGGCATAGACAAAACCTCAGAACTTTGATTCCGTGTGCTACAAATGATGGCAGCTTGGAAGCCTTTCAAAGCCAAATCTCAGGGTGCGACTACTCTGTGAAAGTTTATGTCGATCGCAGACATTCCAAGATTTGCAGAGGTCATCAAATACCGCTCATAGGTGCACATTCCAGCAACAAGTCCCGCGTTCGACACAGCATAGAGAGCACCATTGTATCTTATCGTGAAGTCACTGACCTGCCGAAAGGCCCCTAACTGCTGTGCAAGGGAACATGTACAACCTGAGAAGGGAGGGGGCGAAAGTCAGCCCCTGTAATATATAACACGCTCTTGTTGTTATAGGGTGAGGTCGAACCTGCACATACTTCTACTGTTGGCAGAGGCGCAAAGTTTCGCATTGAGGCTCGGTATGATATAGCCTATATACACAAGGCCTTGTCCACTGCCACTGGTCATAGGATAGAATTGGACCCCACGCTCTTGCACAAAGGTCCAACTCCCTTGGACATGTATATACAGTTCTGGGAGGTGTCTTATTTTTCTCCGGCTTAGGCCCCTTTTCACTACCTTTTTCCCCTCTTTTCTCGCTCTCCCTACCAGGCTCTGGGTTCACCCTACCGTCCTGCGACCTCCCCACCCCCTATTACTCACTTCGTTCGCCCATCGAGGACTCAGCCATGCCTATCGGCTGGCTTTCGTAATGAGTTATGTGGAGCTTGCCTCTCTTTTTCGATCATGCCAACTGCCCCTCCCACCCTCCAAGATCAAACTTTGTGCCGACATGTTGATCATATATTGATTTGAACGAGTTCGCACATCAGCTTGAACAAGAGGATCTTCGAATGTGTGAAGACCTCGACAAGAGGACAGTCGAACATGCGGAGACCGACAAACCCGACGGGGTTTGGCTCAAGGACCAAGGAACGGGCATGGCACTCAGGACAAAAAGAGTGCGCGGCAGTTGAGGGAGATCGGAGGACCGATCTAGATCTTTTCTAGGTTTGGAAGGGCAAGGAGGCTACCAGTGTGGCTGCTACCGCAGCCACATTAGTAGCGGAGCCTACCAAGGCCTGGTGTGGACACTAGGAAGCGATGGCGACAGGGAGCGACGACAAGTCGAATGCGCCGTCTTTCGATCCAAGCACTGACGATGTGAAGAAATACATTGCTAAGGATTGCTAAGGTGCGTTTTTTGGAAGGCATTTGTCCGAAAAAGGACAAGAACATGTTGGCGCCGAGGCTTGCTATGTTATGCAAGGGGACTGCATGGCATCAAGTGAGACAGATCAAGCCAAATGATCTTACAAATGCTGACCATGGTGTGAAGCACTTGCTGAAAGCATTATCGGCTTGGGAAGAGAGCGCAGAGCTGAGGACGTTTGAGCTGTTCAAGAAGGCGCTTTACAAGACCATCCAGAAGAATGACGAATCCACCCAGTCATTTGTGAACAGACTGGATCTTGCGGTTGAAGAAGTTGGAGCAGATACAACTCTGAAAACAGTGGTGGCTTTTGCATTGCTGAAGCAGAGCAGTTTGACTCGCGAGGACAAGAAGAAGATTCTCACCATGACAGGAGGGAATTTTGACAAGGACTCCATAGCCAATGCCATGAGGAGCCTGTCGACCTGAGTCCTGTCAGGGTCCGGAACGGAAAAGAAAAGGGTCTATCCGACGGCCTCCATCGAGTAGAACCCGGAGGCCGAGCATGATCAGAATGTTTCTGACCAAAGTGCCCTGGCAATGAACACAGAAGAAGACCTGAACCAGGAAACCCTGGAGCAGATGGCGATGGCAGGTGATGCAGATGCATTGACCGTCCAGTCTTTTGAGCGGGAGTTGACAGACCTAGTTCAAGAAGTACCAGATCTTCATGTAGCTCTCCTGAGCTACCAGGAGGCGAGGGGCCGCATTGTTGAGAGGAAACGCAATCGCGGGTTCTGGCCTGTGAGAAGCTCACCAGCTGGAAAATCTGGAAAGGGATTCGATTCGCCGGGTCCGAAAGTTTCAGAAAAGGGCAGTCAAAAGGCAAGGATGAATTGTTGGCTCGAATTGCAAGAACACATTGCAAACGCTGCGGAGAGCTTGGCCACTGGAAGGCCGAATGCCATTGAAGGCCAAGGAATCGCAGGTCAACATTGCATCGGCCCAAGAGGCCACAGATCCAGATCTTTCAGAACAAGTTCTTTTCGAAGCAATCGCATCAGATCCAGAGGTCGGGGTTCGGGAGCAGGAGAATGGGAAGAACTGTAGGAGTAGGCTTGCAAAGCAGCTTAATGAATTTGAAAGCCAAATTTCGTTAGTTGAGAAGCCAGCGAAAGCCTGTTTTTCCGAAGCAACCATAGATAAAGCCAAGGATTTTTTCAGTCACCGGAAGTCGAAGTCGTTCGATCGTGTCAGGAAGAGGCAAGCGCCTGTGCAGAGTCCTCCACCAGAGGCAGGACCTACCAGTAAGTCGGGTCAATCTTCCGGCTTTGAAACGAATGGTATGGCAATTTTAGATACAGGTGCCAGCCGAAGTGTGATTGGTGACATAAATTTGCCAAAGCTCAGGAGCAAGCTACCTGAGCATGTCCGGAGCCGTGTAAAAGAGAGAGCAAGCAGAATAGCATTTCGATTCGGCAACAACCAGATAGAATACGGCTATAAGCAGGTGCACATTCCTATAGAGCACAAAAAGATACGCATGTGGTCGATCATCGAAGTTGTGCCAAAAGGAACGCCCTTTCTGCTTTCGATTCAAGCCATGAAAAGCCTAGGAACTGCAATCGACCTGCAAAGCAACACCTGTTTTTTGAAGAGCATGAATCGGTCGATCGAGTTGGTTGAAGGGAGGACTGGACTGTTGATGATTAGGATAAAGGACCTTTGCCAGTCAAGCAAGTGCCAAAGCATTTTTGGCGCAAGCAGTGATTCGAAAGCACCTTGGCAGACTCCTGAGCAAGATGCCGACTCGAGGAGAGATGCTGCAAATGGTAAAGAACATGGCCGAGAATGTGGTGCAATCACTCCAGACTCTGCTCATGATTCTGTTGAATCAGGTGGCCACTCAGGTATCAATATCAAGCCAAGAAGTTCCCCAGGAACAAGTCATGATGATGGGCGAACTTATGACCGAGGTCCAGTCACAGAAGGAAAAGATCGAAGAGCTGGCCAGCTTGATGACGAATCAGGCACTGTCGCCAAGTCATCGAGACGAGGCATTCACAGTGCTGACCGAGAGCGATCTGGAGGTATGGGACCAAGAGGTCCGAGTTTATCAGAATCCACCAGCAGCAAAGGTACCTCCAATGCCGCAACGCTCACAAGCACCTCCAGTGACTGCACCCTCCAATCGAGGACAGTCGACGGCAGCCGGGAAAGGAAGTTTCCTTGCCCCACAATCGAAGAGCCGCGTGGTTGGAGTTGCAAGCATCGTTGGAACAGTTTCTCCTGGAACCCCATCACAAATGAGCCGTTCGACTTGGCTTGGACCACCACAGCCATGGAGCAATGGGGGCAGAAACGTGTGACCTGGAGAAAGAAACATCCTGGGAAAACGTATCAGGCAGTCTACGAAGCAGACAGCTAATAATTACGTAAGTTGGTGTTTGAGCCGCATCAATTCATTGGATGCTCAGATCGGCGATTTCGCTCGTTACTGCCAGACGCGATAACAGATGGAACAGCAGCTGCACCAGAGCCAGGGGTTGATATAAGCGAAGAAGGAAATTGGGAAACCCTGTTGAGTGACATCAGCATTTCAGTTGAAACACCAGAGGAAGCAAAACTTCTGCAAGCAGCTAGAGCAACCAGTCTAGGCAAAGCCTTCGGAAAGCCGATAGATTTATTGGAAGTATATGCACAGCCAAACAGCCATCTAGCCGAGGAAGTTAGGAAACAGGGAGGCAAGTCTGAAAGGTTTACAAGGTAGCATGGTGATTTGTCAACCTTTCAAGACAAAGTGCAGTTGCTACAGATGATCATGAGGTTGCGGCCAAAACATGTCTGGGTAGCACCCGAGTGCTTTTGATGGTGTGCATGGAATCGTTTCAATGCAGGTAGGAGCATGCACTTGTACGAAAAGATTCAGCAATTCTCCAGACAGCATTTGCAACTTTGCACACTAGTTTGTAAGATTCAAGTGCAAAATCAGAGACATTTCACGGCCGAGAACCCAGGAACATCCGACATGTGGAAACAAGAGGAGATTGCTCCTCTGATTGCACTGACCAAGACAGTATATCTAGATCAATGCAGATTCGGCCTAGTACACCCCGAAGATGAGAGACCCTTAAAGAAGTACACAAGGTTGCAAACCAGAATGGTACGTGACCTCGATGGGAGATATTGCAAGGAGATCACCCACATGCACCCATATCCGGATCATCACGATATGCAGCATTCTATCCCAGAATTTTTGCAAGAGCCGCAGCCAAGAGCGTTTTGCAGGAAACGTAGAAATCTCAAATTCCGATTGTTGGTGAGGAAGATTTGCATGATTTGTTTCCAGTTGATGGAGAAGATCCACCTGCAAAGCGTGCACGTTTTGAGCTGATCCGAAGCGACAAGCCGAACCGGAGGACTCAGTGAGAACCCTCTTACTGGTGAAACTTGGGATAAAGCATTCGATTGGTTTCACAAGAACCTGCCAAAATCGGGATCAGTAGAGGTGTCAATCGACGCTTGGCCAGGAAATTTCCTTTCAGAACAGTGTGGATTTCGAGCAGGAAAGATTCTTGCGGAAAAGGGATGGATAAATAGTGAGTAGGAGAAACCACCCATGAGCTAAGAAGAACCAATTGCCAGTGTCGCAAAACGAAGCAGATTTTTGACCTAGGAGAAGAACACTGGACACGCCTGGCATTAAGGCAACAAAGAAGAGCAGCTATGCCGAGCCATATCATGGTCTGTCTGATTGGAAACCAAGAAGGAATAGTAGAAGCCGAGTCAAGTAAGAAGCCTCTCGATCCGGATCCATCACAGGTTGAAGCAGGTTGTCCGAGAGTAGAGCCAGAGTCCGACAAGATCGAGCCAGCAGACCCAGCCGAACAGAAGGCTGCTGAAATTCGAGCAGATGCCGAGAAGAGGGACAGTCAATCGACCATGGTTCCAGCATGGTCTCCGCAGTCATCCAACAATTTTCTTTTCCCAAATTCCATAGCCTGGACAGCTTCCAAAAGTTGTTGATCAAAAGAATACATAACAACCTAGGGCATCCAACAGCACAAAAGCTAGCAAAACATTTGAGCCGGCTTGGATTCACTCAGGAACTAGTTGAAGGAGCAAGTGACTATTTGTGCCAATCCTGTTCGGAAAGGGTTCCTCCAAAGCTTCACACCCCAGGGAAATCAAAGAGCCAAAAGACTTCAATGAAGTTATTGCTCTAGATGGCTTTGAATGGAAAGATAGCCTAGGAAAGAAGTACTATGTGATCCACATATTCGATGAAGCAACCCATTTTCATTTGGGGCGAAGATGCAAGAGAGGAACCGAAGAGGCAGAAAGAGTAGTGAATGAAACTTGGATCCATTGGGCAGGAACCCCAAAAGTAATGGTCCACGACTTAGCAGGAGAATTTGTGAGCCAACAGTGGAAGAACATGTTACAGCAGAACAGTATTCAATCACAAACACCAGCAGCACCGTGGCAAAGGGGTCGCATTGAAAGACATGGAGGAATCATCAAAGAAATGCTAAGCAGAATCGACAACAACATTCCTATCCGGAGTGACAAGGATTTTGACTATGCACTGTCCCAATGTTTTCGAGCTAAGAACAGTATGAGCGTTGCCAAGGGGTTCAGTCCGGAACAGGCAGTTCTGGGAAGGTCCAGCAGAATCCCTGGATCCATTTGCGACGACGAAGACACAACCGCACATTCTCTTGCAGAGAACGAAGACCCACAGGCAGATGTGTTCCAACATCGAATGCGAGTTCGAACTGAAGCCAGGAAAGCTCTAATAGATGTTGATAATAGCCAATCAATCAGAAGAGCTATGCTAAGACAGTCTAGGGGTAGAGAACATGACTGGAAATGTGGCGAGCTATGCATGATTTGGGATAAGAGGAAAGCACCAAACATGTTTAGAGAAGGGACGTTGGGTTGGTCCGTGTCAAGTAGTTATGCACGAAACCGGGACCATAGTCTGGGTTACCCACCTGAATCGTCTGCTAAGGGTCGCAAGAGAGAATATGCGCTCTGTGTCCTTGAGAGAGTTCCAAAGCCACCATGGCTTTAGTCGGACCGGAGATCAACAGAGATTGCAAGAAAAGGCCGAGCAACTTCGAAACAAAGATAGAAGCGGTATGTTCCAATTCTCGGACTTGCTTGATTCGGATTATGGGCCATCAATTGCAGAACCTCAACCAAGGCCATGTCAGCCAGAAGAAGAGCCTCTTCGCAGAGTTTCTCGAACAGAGTCCCAGACAAGTCATCCGCCCGGACTCGATGCAAGTCAGATTCCGGTCATTGACCCAAACGCCGATGAAGAACTTCGAGAGACACCCGAAATCGAAGAGGAAACAGGTCCTAGAAGTGAAAATCCATCAGAGTCTTTGGGGGATTCAGGTTAATGCATGCATGGTTGAAGCAGTAGATGAGCAAGCATCAGGGGTGGATGATAGGGGTACTCTCTAGAGTAATGAAACATCCGACATAGCCGAGGCTCAGTTCTGCAGTTTTGGATTTGTAGTTCCAATGAAAATGTTGGATAAATTTTGCAAGAATCCCTGCTTACATGCCGAAGCCATGAACCGAGCAGCCAAGAAGAGCCACACAGAAGCAAACTATCGAAGCTTAACCGATTCAGAGAAAAAGCAATTTAGTGAAGCAAAGAGAAGGGAACTCAAGTGCTGGATAGAGACAAACACCGTAGAGCCCATCCCCACACAAAATACACCCAACAAGGATCATGTCATCGAAATGGGTCTTGACCTGGAAGGAAGATCAATCTTCACCAATGGCCGAAAACCGAAGGCACGCCTTGTTATCAGGGGTTTCCAAGACCCTGAAGTTGGAATTGTATCGACCGAAAGCCTAACACTGTCGAGGGACGGACGGATGATGATCTTACAGACAGTGAGCTCATTGAATTGGGGGTTGCAATCATTCGACATCAAAACCGCATTTTTGCGGGGTCGATCGGACCAAAGGGAGTTAGCAATTTATCCAGTACCAGAATTCCAAGAAATGCTGAACCGGACAAAAGAACAGGTTTTCTGAAGGGAAATGCATATGGTAGAGTGGATGCTCCATTGCTCTTCTACAAAGAATTTCGTAAATGCTTGGAACAAGAAGAAGGGTTCGAGGCACATCCTCTAGACAACTGTCTTTTCCTTCTAAGAAATCCAGCAGATCCCACTAAGCTGGATGGAATTCTAGGCACACATGTTGATGATGGAATAGGTGGAGGTGGAGGTGGACCAAGATTCAATCGTGCACTAGAGAACCTTCAGAAAAAGCTTCCATTCAGGAATCGGGAGTACCGAAAGTTTGAGTTCACTGGATTGACCATAGAACAGAGGCAAGATTATTCGATAAGGGTTGGACAAAAGGACTATGTGCACCAAATTGACCCTATAGATGTTGCAAAAGTACGAAGAAAGGAACTAGAGTCTCCAGTCTCAAGCCAGGAACAGCACCAGCTTAGGGCTTTGTGTGGCAGCCGTCCACTCACGTCCCGACATGATGGCAAAAGTCGCGTTTCTTCAGAAACGGATATGCAGTGCAAAGGTCAAGGACCTCTTGGAAGCAAACAAAGTGTTACAAGAAACAAAGGAGAATGCAGAAACTTCCATTTTGGTTCAGCCAATAGATATGCAGCAAGTTACTTTTGCCAGCTTTGGGGATGCAAGCTTTGCATCAGAGTCACAACTCAAGCCGCGGCAAGGGGTGTTCATTGCAGCATGCACAAGAGAACTTGCAACCAGCCAAATATCGGAAATATCACCTATCTCATGGCATTCCAAACAAATTAGCAGGGTTGTCCGCTCAACACTTAGCGCAGAGGCATATGCAATGTCTTCGTCTCTTGATAAGCTTACTTGGGTAAGGTGCATGTGGGCAATTGTCAAAGATGGAATTTTTAAATGGCAGACCCCAGAGATCTCCCTGCAGCAGGAGACAAAGGCCCTCCTGATTACAGATTGCAAGAGTCTGTGTGACCTAGTAAACAAGATGGCAACACCCAATTGCCAGGAGTGGCGAACAACGATCGAAGTGATGTTGATTAAGCAACAATCAGAAAAGACAACTGAATGCAGATGGATCTCGACAGCCATAATGCTAGCCGACTGCCTAACAAAACAGATGGATTCGACATTTCTCAGAAAGGTGTTGGCTTTTGGAAAAATTAGGATCTACGATGATAGCAGTTCATTGAAAGAGAACCCAAACCGCACTTTTAGCAGCCGATGGATAGAATCCTTCACAGAACAAACACATTCGAAAAAGAGAACATAGTCAGTGTGATTTGAACGAGTTCGCACATCAGCTTGAACAAGAGGACCTTCGAATGTGTGAAGACCTCGACAAGAGGACAGTCGAACATGCGGAGACCGACAAACCCGACGGGGTTTGGCTCAAGGACCAAGGAACGGGCATGGCACTCAGGACAAAAAGAGTGCGCGGCAGTTGAGGGGGAGATCGGAGGACCGATCTAGATCTTTTCTAGGTTTGGAAGGGCAAGGAGGCTACCAGTGTGGCTGCTACCGCAGCCACATATATATATATATATACAGTATATATATATATACATCATTCCTCTTCATGCATCAGTTGCGGCCAGGTTTCTGAATAAAGGATAGTGCCAACAAATGTTATGAATAGCGCTATCACCAGCATGGCATCCAGTGGCTTCTTCAGAGCCACTCGTTCGCATAGAGCTGTCAGAAATGGAACAGTGTTGCGAATCACGACCTCATTGCGGCAAAGGAGGGAGAAAAAAGAGTGTGCGAGTTCTCGCGTGCTAGCAGGGCACGTAGAGCGGCACGCCTTAGATTCAAATCTTGACACTTCGAACGGTTACTCCGCTACTCCCTTTCCCACTCCCAGCACATCACAGCACCTCCTTTGTTGTAGCCACGGTACTGACTTCCTCCAAAGCCTTGAAACTGCTTAGCAACACCTCACAAAGGCTTCACGGCTTGCAATCACCACAACTTCTTCTTACCCAAAGCTTCTAACCGTTCTTACCCAAAAGAAATGCTGCTAGGAGTCAACAACCAGCAAAACCGCATCCACGAGGAGCGGCAAAACCTTTCAACAGTGCGTGTACCATCAATGCTGTAATGGGAAGCTGCTCCTGCGACTGTATAGCGCCTGATGCGGCTTTAACTGCCGCAAAATGACCTGGCAGCACAAGGGCTGGAAAACTGAGTGTCTGGTGGAGAGGTCTGCTGGGAGTCTGTTGGCGGCACCCTGCCTTCCCACAGATGTGCAAAAACACAGAACACAAAATCGTTCCAGTGTTCTGTAGAGCAACCACCGTCCAAGCCTCAAGGTTATCAATGACGGGAGCAGGAACAAGGCTTCTGATGTGTACAGTGTTGCACACAGCTACTGAGGCTGAGGACTGGGGCTGGAAAGGTTTTTGATCAAAGGAAGAACTAATACAAGAAGCCGCAGCTTGTCCAACCAAGTTCACTGGAGCAGAACAAAGCAAGAAACATGTGACCAATTCAACTCTTCCTTCAGGCAGTGGTATTTCTTTCAATCTTTCCGTCAACCTTCTCAACTAGGAAGCTTTGTCTGAGTGCCGAGCGAAGGGAAAGGTAGTTGAGATGGTCTTGTTCACAAGTATGAGGAAAACCGAGCAACTAGCATGACCCAAGAACCTGAAGTAGTCTGCAAAGATGTGATTTGCACATGCAATCTGGGGTGTCACAGTGCCTTACTACTAGGAGCAAGGACGCTACTAGGGGCTCCTGACCTTACTACTAGGAGCAAGGATGCTACTAGGGGCTCCTGGTGTTGCCAAGTTGCAGGATAAGGACCCACCACTGGCGACCGCCGCCAGCATCCTGTCGATCAAACAACTGCTGTCCCTGTCGCTAATAATCCGCCAATGCTTGCAGTTCAGCCGCACCTTCTGAGTCGACATCCTCAGCTCCACCCTCTGCCCCCAAGCTGGCATGCAAGGCCACAGGCTACGCTGCTCAAGTACATACTGTAGAATATATATATATATATACTATGCCCCATGAACCACCTGCCACAAATGAGGACCACTTATTGTTCATGTGCAACTGGCTGCTCATGACTTCATTTCAACGCATCCTTTTCTAGCTTCGTGAAATCAAAGCAATCCTTCCATTCCAGGCACCCCGCAAAAGCCCCGATATCTTTATGACATAACGACCCTCCTCTCGAACAAATATATTAGCTTTCCTCTGGCTGCCGGAAGAAAGTCAGGACCTCGTGACCCCTATAGCTAAACAAACAAACCTCACGTAATCGATACCGAGAATCTTGCAAAGCCTTTTGAAGATACATGATACATGTCGTGACTTAGGTGGAGCAAAGCATCATTCAAGCCAAGCATCCTTCACACCGCGTGGGATAAGCTTGACTTGTACAAAAATGGCTGCACACGGACCGGATTTGTCTTTAGCTTGCAATGGCCTTCTGGACCATTCATGCAAACCAGGCATGTGTTTCTTCTCCGTTGCACCGTCCTTTTCTTGGCATCAATTAAAGCAGGCTACTGTCTAAAGGCTACTGGGCTGACTCCTCTGCTCCATGTTTCCCCGTTGAGAGGTGTTCCTGGTGACCTCCCTTGTCACAAACGTGTTCACTGGCTCCCACCTGGCTGGTGGCGTACCAAATTCCACCAGTCAAGTTGACGAACATGCCCACGATGGACATCAAATGCTGTGACTCCTCCTCATTGAACAACATCGCACCTTGGACCAGGCACATCATTGATGCAATGTTGCACACAACCATGGTCAATGTGGCACTGCAGTTCTGCAGGCACAAAATCACGGCGAAGTGTCCAAACCCTGTACCGATTCCTGACAGAAGCAAAAGCAGCAGGACCTGTGGAGTTTCACACCACAGTTTCCAGTCTTTAAGTGCTGCCGAATCCGCTGATCCAAAGAGTAAACGTGCAATAGTACAACTGACTAGGCTGTCAAATGCCAATAGGCAGGCAACTGGGATGTCTACAGTTTTCACCAAAGTTCCCCTCTGCACCAAGCGGTATGCCACCAGCACAATGCCTGAAAGGCAACATGCACCCACTCCAAGTGGTGCCAAAAGTGGGTCTTCGATGACGAAAAAGGTTGCTCCACATACAGTTGTAAATAAGGCGGCCTTGGCTGAAAGGCTTGCCTCCCGATCTGTCTTGAAGATGTGGGGGAATGTGCTTTCAGCGCTCCATGCCAGAACTGGCACCAGATTCCCGAAGATCACACGCTCGGAGATAGATGCCGTGTTCGACACAAAGTGGTCCGTCACTTGATAGCATGCAAATCCTGTGGCACAAGGCAGCCATCTCAACAGCCCGAACCATATCTGTTCGGCGGGTGGCTGTGCACCCGGAGCGTTCCAAACTTGGCATGCCCACAGAACTACGCCAACAACCACAGACATCAAAGACTGGAAAAAGGTTAATGCCATAGGTGCTCGCGTCAAAATAGACAAAGATTGATTTCCAATCACTGAGCTGATGGTCAACGCGCCCACGCTGAATTGTAGCAGCGGTTGGTACAAAAGGCTCTGATTTCCCTTATGCCGTTCTTGGTAAAACCAGAAAAGCCAAGCCACCAATAATGGCACCCACAAGAGCACGAAAACCCACAGAATTTGACTTGCCGCGGCAAGTTCAATGTCCACTTGAACCTCAATTCCTCTATTTGAAGAATTTGCTTCATAGTCCGCTGTCACGAAGATAGTCTGCTCTCGGCTCACAACCTCCCTTTGGCCAGGATCAATCATGGTCTGATTCACGCGTTTGATTCCTAGCCCTGACCCTGCCCTGGGCGACTTGAAAAGCTCCCGTGTGCTGTTGTCTAGCTCCACCATAATTTGGCGTGCCATCTGTTCAGCCACGTGTTCAGCTGTAGTATTGCCACTGGCTTCGTTGACATCCCTGCGTAGGATCGCACCGTGCTTCCTTTTCAGAATCTTGGTTGCATTTGCACCCCCGAACCTCAAGTGCTGCAGGAGAATGCTTACATCATCCAACTGATTGTTGAGTGCCTCCCCATGTCTGCACAACTCTGCCGGCACCTGTGTCAGGGAAAGAAGGACGTTGAGAAGTGGCAGCCACCTACCACGCCACATCATCAGGCGTGTCCTGCTTTGCAAGACTCCCGACTGGCGAAATCAACCCAAGGCCTTCGATGCTCAAGGCATCTGAGCTTCGGCCGAAGTGTGACTCCTTTCTGTGAAACGAAGAGGCGGTTCGATTGCGCCTAGAGCTGAGCCAGGACAGTGTACAAGAAGATTACAGTAAATGATAAACGTGTTTTCCAACAATGGTTGCATGGCCCGACATCTTGGGATGAAGCAAGCAGTCGCGCAAGCCAAGCTGTTTTCTCGAAGTCATGCCACTTAGAAGTGGTCTGCTAACTAGTGGAGAATAAATACTAGGTTGGAGGCCATCGCTACTAGGGGGAGGCCATCGCTACTAGGGGGAGGCCATCGCTATCAGAAACAACGAGAAAAGGAAAAGGAAGAAAGGTCTAATATATATATATATATTGCAACTCACGCGATCAGCTTCTCCCGGATAGCTGCCTCGGCCCAAGGCGAGCGAAAACACTCAAAGGAAGTCTGAGAGTGGGCGCCTCGAGCTTGTCAGTGTCAGCGATGAAGGCCCTCAAGCCCTAGCGTTGTTCATTCCTCTTTGTGATTGCACTAGCTCATTTCAAAGTACTCAGGTTGCGGGCGCAAATGCTGTGCAGCACAATCAAGAACTAAATCCATTCTTGTTGTGTTTGCATTCTTGAGAATGCTTGAGCGATTCGGTTTTTGCGAAACCGTTGCGAAACCGTGTCCGTCACCTGTTGACGTTTGAAGCCCTTGGAGCCTCAGCTGTCTTCTCTGTAGCACACGCGTCTTGGTTCATCAGCAACCTGAAGTCCGCCTGCAAACTCCAGTTGCATCCCATGAGTGACAACGGTCGTCACAGTCGTCGTGCGAGCCGCCTTGCATTAAAAACTATACCGGCATAGACCCCAGATAGCACTTCAAGAAAAGTTGGACACCATGGCAAGAGCGGGAGACAAGCTTGGGAGACATCCCACTCAAAGCCGGGGAAAGGATGGAAAAGGTAAACAAGACCTAAATCATCTTATAACAGCATCCGCGTCAAAGGCAGGAAAGAAAATGACAAGGCGGCAGCGGCAGCCAAGAGCGAAATCAGGAACAGAGACAAGCTTGGGAAACACGGCGGCAGCGGCAGCCAAGAGCGAAATCATGAAGGGAGACAAGCTTGGGAAACAAGGCGGCAGCGGCAGCCAAGAGCGAAGTTATGAAGGGAGACAAGCTTGGGGAGACAAGGTGGCAGCGGCAGCCAAAAGCACAATCATGCGAAATCATGAAGGGAGACAAGCTTGGAGACAAGGCGACAGCGGCAGCCAAAAGCGAAATCATGAAGGGAGACAAGCTTGGGAGACAAGCCGGCAGCGGCAGCCAAGAGCGAAATCATGAAGGGAGACAAGCTTGAGAGACAAGGCGGCAGCGGCAGCCAAAAGCGAAATCAGGAAGGGAGACTAGCTTGGGAGACAAGCTGGCAGCGGCAGCCAAGAGCGAAATCATGAAGGGAGACAAGCTTGGGAAACAAGGCGGCAGCGGCAGCCAAGAGCGAAGTTATGAAGGGAGACAAGCTTGGAGACAAGGCGACAGCGACAGCCAAAAGCGAAATCATGAAGACAAGCTTGGGAGACAAGCCGGCAGCGGCAGCCAAGAGCGAAATCATGAAGGGAGACAAGCTTGGGAGACAAGCCGGCAGCGGCAGCCAA